GATTAGAAATACTCCTAGTCGCTTCATGCTACAGAAACCGGGATAAGCTCCGGCCTGATGGGCCACTTGGCTCGTATGCAGACTTTACCTTTACCATCGTTTTCACAAAGATCCATTTTTAAAAGGTTTTCTGTCCAAACGAAAACGAAAAGCCGGTGTTTTCAAATTCTTCTGGTTCGAAGAGCGTTTTCGTGACGGATTAGTGTGGACGGTAGGCCTAACCGTAGAAATAAAGCTGAGTTTTCAAATCCTTCCGGCGTAATGTAGGCGGGGCCTAAATCTCGCCCATACTAGAGAATGAAGGAGTATGATGATAATGAAGATCAAGTAGCCTGCCAGGGTTAGTTTAGTAAAAATAACTTTCCTCATGTTAAGTTGAAATTTTGACTTCATTGGCAGCAAGGTTGAAGTTTTCCCGTGAAGAGGTAGATCAACAATGCTAGAGAGCGTTGCTACAAGGAATTTATGGGGTCAAATTTGGGGCCAAAGCTGCTACAAAAGGAGGGAATCGAAAGAGCGTCGTATAATTATTATTGAAGGTGCTGTTGTGAACTCATAAACATTGGTAATAAGTTAAGGAACTATGGATTAATTGATCAATTGTATTTCTATTATTGCAGAAAAGCGATTCCAAAAAGAAACCCGGGAAACAGTCCAAATCTGCGAAGAAGAAAAGCGAGCAGGAGTCCACTATAGACCCTGAAAATATCGATTTTGATGCATTCAACACACCGGAAATGTTAGATGGAATGGACGATGAACTACGTCAGTTCATTCAAGAGCAAAGTAAAAGTGACATGACTATAGCTGCTGTCAATCAGGCCAGTGGCGGTGCTGTTGTTAATGAACCAGTCAAAAGACGCGAGTCTGTACAGACCATGCAAATGCCTCAGGTGGCCCCGGAAGTTTCACCAGAGAAAAGAGATGCATATGCACCTTCTCTACCCAAGAAAATGTCCAAGAAGGAGCTGGCTAAACTGAGAGCAGATCAAAGAAAAGAAGAAAGGAAGAGGAAAGAGGAGGAAAAGAGATTGAAAGAAGAGGAAATGCGCTTGTTAAAAGAGCGAGAAGAAGAGGCAGTCAGAGCCAAGGCTGAGGCAGAAGAGAAGCAGAAAAATATTGAAGAAGAAAAGATGAAAAGGATGGAGGAGGAGGAAGAGGCGAAACGACAGGAACAGGAAGCGTTGGAGAAACTGAAGGAAGCGAAGAAAAAGGCGCGCGAAGAGCGAGAGTCGAGAAGGGCGGCTGAGGCAGAACGAAGAAGGCTGGAAGTACAGAAGAAGCGTGAAGAGAAGAAGAAACGAGAAGAAGAGTTAAGAGAGCGAGAGAAAGAACTTGAACAACAGCGAATGAATCGCGAGAAAAGAATGGCAGAAATTGACGAGGCGAGGCAGCGGAAAGAAGAACTGGAACGCTTGGAAGAAGAGCAAAGACGCGAGGAAGAACGGCTCATGGCGCTTCAGATGGAGGAAGAAGAACGGCGTTTAGAAGAGGAGAAGATACGCGAAGCAGAGGAAGAGCTTCAGAGGATACAAGAGGAGCGAGAGTATCGCGAGCAGATGAGGCGGATCGCTGAAATGCAGGAAGCTAAGTTGAGGCAGGAAGAAGAGGAAAGGCTGAGGAGGGAGGAAGAAGAACAACAACGGGCTGAAGAAGAAAAGCGTAAGCGGGAGGAAGCTGAGCAAGAGCGGCTCCGCGAGGAACAGAGACGCATTGAAATGGCACACCGGCTGGAAGCTTTAGCACGCATGCGCTCTGCTCAAGCGGCTGCCAGGAGGAAGGCGTTATTGTTGAAACGAAGGGAAGATAACATGGAAAGAATGCATAGCCTCAAGCACACGCGTTGTGGTCAACACATTACCCGAGCCTTTGTATTTACATACTATACGCACATACCAAGAAAGGTATGGGAAGTACCGATCGGTTTCAACAAGAAAAAGAAGGGTTTTGGATCGCCTAGGAGAAAACCAGCCCCGCCTAAACCGCCTTCATAAGAAATAGCAAGCCTTCGGCGTTCATGCTTTAAGAATTCACGCTGGAGGAATGAAATTTTCAACGCCCTGCATCCCAAAGTGGGAAAAATCGTAAACTCAGATTGCGAAGTTGCTGTAGCATTTGGAAATCACTTTGGATTGAACTAGGATCATTCGTTTCAACTGAGCAGCACACAGCAAATTCGTGCTCAGTTCCTCTGGGTCTTTACATTCCAAAGACTATGTTGAGGAGGTTATGGACTACATGAATCTGTTCCTACGTCAAAGGCAACAAAACGATTACGTTTCGTGAGACAAGAGGGAAGTCACTCAAGTTAGTAAGGTTATCTGCGATTAAACGTTCCCTTACGGCAATTTTTCTAGTAAGAGTATTTATTTCAGTGATGTTCTAGTTATTTAAAGGGAGGAATAGAATTTTCACATTATATAGAACTTTTTTTAGGGATGATCTCTGTAAATCCGGCAATCCTTTGTATAAATGCATGTTTCTAAGTAATCTTTGTAAACTTTGTAAAATAACTGTTAAATGCTTTCGATGCAGCAGTTTTGTACTTTTGAAAGAGAGACCTATGAATGCCTGAATGTTTCGACCTTTCAAGGATTGCCACAAGATGTAAGAAAATAAATCAGATAATTTTTGCGAGGGTTGCAAATGAATGAATCGCTCAAGAAACTTGACAAACCTTGCAAATGATTACGTTAAGAGAAATAGTCTATTTTGAAAAGAATGTAAATGATAAACTCGAGCAGATTTATACGCGTTTATTTTAACTTTGACGAATTATTGTCTGTTATTTATTATTTGCTAGATTTTGATTTTCTTAGGTTGCAATCAAGCGAGCAAACTATTTAATATTATATCCTAGTTTGTTGTTAGAAAAGAAATATATATATTTTTAGAATTAATCTTACAAATGAGAACAATCCGGCTGAAAAACGGTCTGGCAAAGTAAAGAATTATGGCACAGAGAATGCGGTGAAATAAGTTCAGTTGTTGTGTTGTATAGTTGTTAACAGCTATTGAAGTTTTAGATGCGAACTCGTCAGTGTAAATATTTCCCACACCCCATCCTTTTTAGTCTATGAACATGCTCCTAGCCTGCGAACAGGCTCCCGGTTGGGTTTAGTGCGAGCTAGCAGGGTGTGGTCTAGGGCGAGCGGGGCTAGCCGAGACGAGGGGGAGCGGAATTCGTTATTTCGCGCTAAAAGGCTCACTTCGCTCGCCGGATTTTTTCCGCCCTTTGCAGGCTAACCTACGAGCGAAGCTAACCGAGCGTGGGCTAGGGCGAGCAGAGCGAGGCGAATGTTTTATCGCAGTCGCCGGGAGACTGTTCACACGCCACATCTCTTTTTGCTTCATTCTCAAAACGGCTCTCCTTGAAACATGTGTTTGAGTCGTCACGAAGACGTCTTCGCGTAAGGTCAGGCTATTCTCAGACCTTTTCTCACGTCGATGGGATAATCGATCTAAGGAATAAATCGAATCTAGGAAATGAGAATTCGTGCTAATCATACATCAAGTGTACTTTTTCGGTAGCTCGAATTGGCACCCTTTGTTAAGAAAAAATGCGTGTATACAGCACGGTGCACAAAGTTAAACTCAAATTTAGGCTTCAGCCATAGACCTCTGCACATTTAATTTCTCTTGCATAAGTTACTTTACTGTTTGAACGCCATTGAATCAACTCCGTAGAATCGTCAACCATCTGTGAGGTCCTCGAGCGTACGAATAGGCTTTCCGCTAGGGGATAGGATGGGGATACTGTATAGGCAGGTGAGTGCGGGATCATAGCCTGCGAATATAGGGTCCCGGCGAGGGCGGAAAAAAAATTCTGCGAGTGAAGCGAACCGACAAGAGCGGAGCGGGAGAGCGACCTAGGGCCTCTAGGTTCGTTTTCCCCCGCTCTTTAGTCCGTTCTGCGTTCCTCCCCGTCCACGGACTCTTTACCCGAACAGCGGCTAGTAATCGAACCTAGAGAGCCTCTAGACGTTCCGCCCTTGGTGATTAGCCTGTTACAAATCAGTCAGAAAGGTAATTACACCTGTCAAAATTGATATTTTCCCCGCGCTGATGCATCGGCTCTTGATAACATTCTCATAACGCTCTCTAAAGGCGTTAACTCCTCAACCGGGTCTTTCATTATCCATACCAAAGGCGTTACAACTAAAACACAATCATGTTCCTCAGTCGGTAGAATGCCAAAAACAACGCGCTTCTGAACCACAGTTTCGTCTTTCCAGGCATAGCTTCTGCTCATATTTCAAACCAGAGATATGAATAAAACGGTGGGAAGAATTTCTCAAGGCTGCCTCGAATTCCACGTTTGTGAACTGTGCATTACACGCAAACGCAATCTTCCTAGGTCTCGGAAAATTATGCAAATTTACACGCTGTTGTCAAGATCTGTCAAATCTTTATCTCAAAGCTGTCAAAAATGGGCGATTTAACCAATCAGATCATGATACCTAGAATCTGGTATCATGATCCAAGGTAAGGTACATGCAAAGGTACACGCTGCATATAAACAGGTTCCGCCGTGCGTGACCTTCACTTAAGCTGCGGTTTAATAGTCACGCGAACACGAAAGGGCGATCTGAGAATCAAACGTTGGACTTAACGCAGCCAGTGATGGCGCAATCAAACCCTCCCCTTGATTCGCAGCACACAAAAGGTCGATTTGCTAATAAGGTGTGTATCATAACTGGTGGAGCATCGGGGATCGGGAGAGCCACTGTGAACCGATTTGCCAACGATGGAGCTTCAGTAGCCGCGTTTGATGTCAACGAACCTGCTGGTAAACATTTGCAGGATGAACTTACGGCCGCTGGATACGATGCCAAGTTTTATAAAGTGAATGTAGCAGATAAAGAGCAGTGTGTAGAAGGAGTGAAGAAAGTCGCGGAACAATACGAAGGAAAAATTCATTTTCTGGTGAACAACGCAGGCGTTGCCCCGACTCGTAGTGGTAAGTTTGCGACAGACAGCAAGCCTGCCGAGTCAACTGACGAAAATTTTGCCTTGACATAAAATTGCATTTTTACTTAACTGAACATTTGCTTGATTTTAAACTGGTCCATTTTCCACAATACCACAATACCTATCTTGTTTTGCTGCGCAGCGAAGCGAAGCAGCAAACTGTTTACCCTTTTTAAATCGTCGCGTGAAGTCACGCAATTAGGAGACAAACTCATCTTTATCATTTATTGCAAATCTACGAAACTAGTAGCACCTCAAAACCCGGGAGAGAGGGTGGGATACTCTCGCCTACAAAGAATCACAGAAAAGAACTAAAACTCCCTCTGCATTAAAACACTCAGTTAGCGTTATAAAGTTTACAAGCAAATGGACTTAGAGATGGGGTAAACAGTGAGTTATTAGCAGTATGCGTGATGCGTAATCCTCAGTGTGCGGTGAGACACGCTCGATCGCATTAACTGACAGGGCAGAGGCTCGTCAATGTCAGACAACTGAACTTGTAAGGGATTAAATTGGAGAGTAGTGTTTCGTTGCACGACTCTTATAAGTTTCTTTTTTTTTCCTTTTTTTTTTTACTTCAAATGGTCAATATATGCTAATTAGATGCTAGCTTGGTAATATATGAAACCTCTGAAGCCATAAAACCTTTGCATATATTACTCAGCTATCATAGTAATAACCATGTTGTATTTGTGATCCTAACACTAAGATCTGAAATTTGTNTTTCAGGCTTCTTCTTTCCAATTGCTTAAATTGGAAAATTAACTGCGATGATCATTCTTCACTCTCAATACCTATGTTGTTTTGCTACTCGTTTAATATTGCTGCGCAGCGAAGCGAAGCAGCAAACTGTTTACCATTTTTAAATCGTCGCGTGAAGTCACGCAATTAGGAGACGAACACATCTTTATCATTTATTGCAAAGCTACGAAACTAGTAGCACCTCAAAACCCGGGAGAGAGGGTGGGATGCTCTCGCTTACAAAGAATCAAAGAAAAGAACTAAAATTCCGTCTACATTAAAACACTCAGCGTTATAAAGTTTACAAGCAAATGGACTTAGAGATGGGGGTAAACAATGAGTTATTAGCATTATGCGTGATGCGTAATTCTGTGCGGTGAAAGTCACACTCGATCGCATTAACTGACAGGGGAGAGTCTCGTCAATGTCAGACAACTGAACTTGTGAGGGATTGAATTGGAGGGTAGTGTTTCGTTGCACGACTTTTATAAGTTTCTTTTTTTTCCTTTTTTTTTTACTTCAAATGGTCAATATATGCTAATTGGATGCTAGCTTGGTAATATATGAAACCTCTGAAGCCATAAAACCTTTACATATATTACTCAGCTAGCATAGTCATAACCATGTTGTATTTGTGATCCTAACACTGAGATCTGAAATTTGTTATGGTATTCTCTTCACAGGTCTGGATTCTTCAAAAGAGGACTGGGAGAGAATTTTGGGAATAAATGTCATTGGCTATTCCAACATGGTGCAAGCCTGTTTTCCATTTATGACTGAAGGTATAGTCGGTAATCACGTGACCCTAGACGCTTTGTATAAGTTCCCGTCACTTTTCTCTCTACTTTTTTTAGCTTGCAAATGAATTTCCGTTTCAATATTCTCAAAGTTTGATAATTCTTACTTTTTGTAGCCTGCTTCGCAGACGGAAATTTACTCGTAAATAACCCGCGGTAGGTAGCGCCCTCGACGCAGGTTAACTCTTTGCAGCTTTCTCTTATTTCATTTCTGCTATTCTGTAAAGGTTCCAGTTTGCCACACAGCCACCTCATACAATAATGGAGACTGGCTTCCTTTAGGCTTTCTGGTATACTGAACTTTAAAGATTTTGACGTCGAAAACGTCTTTGGCAAGTTGCAATGTGAGAGATGCCGGCGGCAAAGTCTAGATATGAGAAAACGAAACTGGATTTGCTGTAAAAGAGAAAACTCTGAGTTGCCTGTAATTGACATTAATGAAAAAAAATTGACTGCTTTTCTTCTCATTAATGTCATTTTGAAAACAAAAAGCAACACCAGGATACTTTTTTCTCTGGCGGAATTATGCATGAGGCTAGTTTTATTTATTACACGGAAGACCTTAGCTTGTCGGCAAATGGTACCTGGAAGTCATCCTTGATATATCGTTTGAGGAAATGTGTGCAATGTATAAAAGATCAAATATTAATTATAGGTCAAGTAATTGGAAAAAAGCATGCAGAATTTGTGGCCAAACTCGTAACAACACGAGTCGAAATGTGCTTCGGACGATGCGTTAAAAGAAAGCAACATTTAGATATGTACATCCGCTGTTCGGCCACCTTTCTACAACAGCCACCTCCCTACCCCGGCCCGGCACTTTTTTTTCGTTCCGGCAGACGGTCCATGCATTCTCTCTTATTTTGACCTCTCGAAAACAACCACCTCTCTATTACGGAAGCAACCCCTAAAGCGAATCCCAAAAGCCAAATATTACCTCTTGAGAACGTCAATTACTCAACAACTGACGAACGCAGTGTGCAAGACCCCATTTTTTATCAAAAAAAGTGACGAAACTTCACCCGTAGCGCGCGTCTTTGCTCTTTGCTTTGGTTTGGTTTTTATATAATTGGTATATTTTCCATTGTGTTGCGTCAAATATATAGGCTACAAGACGAAGGTTTACAAATGAAAATGTTGTACAGTCCGAAGAAAGGTATCATATTACACCCCTACCTCCCAATAACGGCCACCCCTCTGCAGCGACGTCCCTAAGATGGTCGTTATGGAGAGGTTCAGCTATATGCGGTTGTCTTACAGCCATACAAGCGTCTGTGAATTCGACGCTGTGCAAAGCGTCAAATTATTCAATAGTCAACGTGTTATTTCGCCAGTTGCAACAATTAAATTGTTGTTAGAACTGTTGATCACGGGAAACGTAGACGGAAGCTTGTTTTTCCATGTGTGTTCAAATTGCCGGTTCATTTGTTGGTCGGGGAAGGTGTTAATCTCAGTTGCTCTGGCCTAAGTCACGCAACGGCGACGCAGATGTTGCGAAGGAGATTAGGAAAAGGTCACGAAAAGGTTGGCAAAAACCTGTCAACGATGTGTTACAGCGTTGGTGAACAGCTTTCAAATGACCTTTCTGCTGTGGTCATGAAGTTCGGAGAAAAGGTCTTTATACAATTTTACCGTCAGAATCATCATTTTCAGTTTTGAAGTTTTGGCTATTGCTTATTGTAAAATTTCCGCTTTAAAGCATGAGTGTGTTTTTTTATTGAAAAGGTAAATTCTTATTACGTAAAGGTTAGCTCATTTCAATCATCATTCACTGGGGAATTCACAGGTTTGCTCAAATAACTCTTTGATTTGATTCTATAGCAGAGGCCTGGGACTGTGCTGTGGTGAACATTAGTAGTGTCCAGTCCCACCGTGCTCAAGCTGTCGATATGGGCTGGACATACGCGACAAGTAAAGGTGCTGTAACAGCAATGAGCAGGAGGATGGCTCTGGATTTATCCCCTCATGGAATCAGAGTAAACTCTATTTCTCCCGGATATACCTGGACTGCAATGGTGACGCTTCACGTGTTACTTGTCTTTATGTTAAACTGTGGCAGTCTTCCAACTCTTTGTATACTATTGCTATCATTATTAGTCACTCAATCACCCAATCACTCAATCACTCACTCATTCGCTCACTCTCGTTCGTTCGTTCATTCCTTCCTTCCTTCCTCGTTCGTTTATTCGTTCTTTCGTCCG